ATCTCATCACAAACACTTTTTGTATACATATATTTTTATTGAAGTGTAGTCAGTTTACAATGTGTCAACTTCTGGTGTACAGCATAATGCTTTAGTCATACATACACATACATATATCTGTTTTCATATTCTTTTTCACCACAAGTTACTATACAATATTGAATATAGTTCCCTGTGGTTCCCTGTGCTATGCCGTATAAACTTGTTGTTTATTTTGTATATTAGTTAGTATCTGCAAATCTCAAACTCCCATTTTGTCCCTTCCCTCCCTCTTCCCACAAATACTTCTTGATCCAGAATTCTACCTCCATTCAAGGACTGGGGCTCACTTTTTTGAGTCACCTATTCAGGACCTACATTTTGCAGTTTATACTTACTAGCATCATTTAAAATAACAGTTGCCTGCTCCCTTGAATCAAAAATATTTTTTTAAAAGGAAATGGACTTTGCTTTTCCTTCCATAGAGATGAATGGCAGTTTTCATCTCTTTGGGGCAAAAGCATTGAAGATTAATGATAAAAGGGGTTACGAATATTCCTTAGAAGAGAAAAAAAAATACACTGATACAAGATGTTAAGTAATAGTTTTGTGAAATTACATCAGAAGTGCATCCCGGTGATACACTCAGAAATAAGCAGGTGTCATAGTGAGACTAGCTCTACAAATAGACCCTCCCCTTGAAACAGCATTGACCATCCTCTTTCTCACATAGGCTCTAAATTGAACTTTTAAAGTATATGGAGGTTTGGAAAAGGGTGTACAAAAACCCCACCAAGATTTGCTACAAAGTAATGGGGAAATTAAGCTGAGAAGAAAAGAAAATGGAAGGAATTAGAAATAACTAGTCTGGATTAAAAAGAAATTTGAAGAGTGTCTTTTATGACCTTCAAACAAATAAGGGAGGTTTTTTACAAGGAAGATGACCAGTAACCTTCTTTTTCCATTAAGAACATACTTAGAAAATGTGTTTGAATTACGGTGGAGTTGATTTGGGGGAGCCACAAGAACATCTTGGTCATTCAGGTTGGTGTATACCAAGACAGTGGACATTGGACATTGGGGACAAGCTTCCTAGTAAACCATTACAGATATAATGACCGCTCATTCCCTTGCTGGCAGGCAGGATACACAGACAAGTTCTCGTTCACATCTCTTAACTCCATGACGTTTTATATATTTGCTTCTGTCACTGTTGGAAAACTGTTATTGAAAATAATTGTAGCTTCACTGCTTATTTGTCTGATCCTCTGTCTGTGATGCAGTAAGATGCATTATCTTTGCTTTTTTGCTGATTTGCCATCTGCTTGGAGCTTTCAGTGACTCGAATCTCCATTGGAGCTCTGTTGTGCGTGTGCTTAGTGTTTTCACACAACCTTGTTATTTGGGGTTTTCATAACTCTGTCTCGTTTGTTGTCTTATGATCAGTTAATGGAACTCCCAGCAGCCAGCTTTCCACTCCTAAGTCTACGAAATCCTCCAGTTCTTCTCCAACTAGCCCGGGAAGTTTCAGAGGATTAAAGGTACGAAAC